AGGTTATACAAAAGGACATTTTCCTTAGTTTGACCGTTCATTTAACAAAAGCTGCCCTTAGCCGAGCTAATAAAGGTTTTCAATTAAAGGGTTAGAGAAGCAAATTTTGAATACATTGTTTAAAAAAAATTATAGCTCTTTCGAGCTAGCAAGCAGTACCGCGCAAGGGCCATAGGTTGTTTTGTTATTTATGTATTCACATTATGCTTCCCGAAACGTTTAAATGAAAACCTTTAATAGTTCGGCTAAGAGCAATTTTTTCTAAAAAACGACCAGACTAAAAAAACTTTTTCTCATGTAAGACTCAGGGTTAATTCGACCCTAATAAATTTCAATCAGATTTAATCGGACATACCAAGAGGGGGATTGACAGCTTTCATATCAGTTCTGCTGGTGAGATTTACCAAAATGTCCTTGTTTTCCACTATGTATCCACATTCTTTTTTGCTCGATCAGAATTTTGGGCTTTTTCTTTTCCTCACTTTGCATGCACACATTTAATGGTATACTGAGTGGTTTTACAGGGTAGAGTATGCAGATCAAATATATTTGTTGTGGTTTATTCAGTCCGCATGCCAATTATCATAAAAATCAGACAAGGCAGACAACAAAAAAATGCAAGTAGTGTGGAAAAGTGGCTTTTCTCCACTCATCGACTTTTCAAATTTAATTGTTATTAAACTGAATTGAAATTATTTTTATGCAGAAAAACTTGGTATGGCAAAAAATATACAATTTGTTTAAATTTCATACCTGATATCGTAATTTAACGCATTTAGCCTTATTCACGCATAAAACAACAAAAAAAATGAAGAAAACTGAAATATGGTGGGAGGAGTGGAAATGATCCGAAAAAAAAGAGCCAGAAAAATTTGTGCAAAAAGCCTGTTGTCAAATTTAATCTCTCAAAGTTTCTAGAAAGAAGTTTTTTAGCCTTAATTTCTAAATTTAATAATTAACAAGCGTTACTCGATCGCTTTACTCGCTCAAAAATTGACGGAAAGTTGAAAACTTTCAAAACAATTTTTCTCGATACTAGAAATATTTTTGCATTTTTCAAATTTCTTTTGGGATGTTCTAGAAAAAACAACAAAGACGTCAAAAAAAACAAGCCATTGAGTAACAGTTTCCACATTGTAGAAAACATCACTCATTGTATCCAAAAGACTTTTCGCCGAGGAAGCATGCGAGTCCTCAGGTTCCTTCTTGAGTATTCGAACTATTGAAATGGCTGTATTTACATAACTATCTGGCTCTAAATCAATACCAAATAAAGAAGTATTGCTAGATTTTGCAAGCAATTTTTGAAAGAGTCAGTTCTTCCACTCCATCCATTGAAAACATTACGGGATATATTTTGTAGGTCTAAGATGAAACAATCTTTCATCATCTGCATTGTTACTTGAAAAATTTCTGCACAAGCATCGTCCTAAACTGTGATCACAATAATCAAAAAGAACAAGAAGAGTTTTTCATCAATTCGAAGGAACTTATGAATTGCTTAAATTCTTTAGTTAGGGAGAGTAACTTCCGTTAGAGTTTACTGAAGCTCAAAAAAACTTTAAAGTTTCTTTTCATCCTCCAATTTTTCTTCTACTATTGAAAACGTTTTGGCCTCATAAAAATGAACTAATTGTATGGACATCAGTTCAAAAATACTGATTATGTTTTCCCCAGTCAAATGACACGGAAACTTGCGTGGGATATACTTTTGTTGTATGGAAAATAATACCCGAGACCCAGTAATTGTGGTTAAATAGTGCATTTTAGAAACATATTACCAGGCGAATTGAGAAGGAAGTGGTCAATCCCTCGTGGCATGTCCAATCAAATCTGCATGAAAGTTATTAACTCGAATTAACTCGGGGTTATACCAAAGGACATTTTCCTTAGTTTGGCCGTTTATTTAACAAATGTTGCTCTTAGCCGAGCTATTGAAGGTTTTCAATTAAATGGTTAAAGAAGCAAAATTTTGGATACATTATTTAATAAAAAAAACTATGGCTCTTTCGCGCTAGCAAGCAGTACCGCGCAAGGGCCATAGTTTTTTTTCTTATTTATGTATTCCCGAAATGTTAAAATGAAAACCTTTAATAGTTCGGCTGAAAGCAATTTTTCTAAAAAACGACCAGACTAAAAAACTTTTTTCCTGTAAGACTCAGGGTTAATTCGACCCTAAAAAACTTTAACCAGGTTTAATCGGACATACCAAGAGGGGGACTGACAGCTTTCATCTCAGTTCTGCTGGTGAGAGATACCAAAATGTCCTCGTTTTCCACTATGTATCTACATTTTTTTTCGCCCGATCTGAATTTTGGCCTTTTTCTTTTTCCTCACTTTGCATGCACACATTTTATGGTATACAGAGTGGTTTTACATGGTAGAGCATGCAGATCAAACATATTTGTTGTGGTTTATTCGGTCCGCATGCCAATTATCATAACAATCAGAGAAGGCAGACAGAAAAAAATTGCAAGTCGGCGGAAAAAGGGCTCTTCTCCACTCCTCGACCTTTCAAGTTTAACTGTTAAAAACTAAATTAAAATTATTTTTCTGCAGAAAAAATTGGTATGGTAAAAAAATACCATTTGTTCAAATTTCATACCTGATATCTTAATTTAACGCATTTAGCCTTAATCACGCAAAAGACAACAAAAAAATTAAAGAAAACTGAAAGAAAGTGAGAGGAGTGGAAAAGAGCCGAAAAAAAAGAGCAAGAAAAATTTGTCTAAAAAGCCTGTTGTCAAACTTAATCAATCAAAGTTTCTAGAATTTAAAAAAAATGGTAATTTAAAAAATATGTTTTAATTTCAAGAAACTAGTTGCCCCGGTACACAAAAAACGCAACTCATACAGTTTTACACAGTGTAACTAGCATTTCACGCATCCAGAAAAAGGTCGGACAACTCTACGACTAGCATTTGTGCGCGTTAATAGCCCAATTCTGATTTGTTTGACTTGTTTTTTAGGAATTTCATTTACGGAAACTTTTGTTGTGAACAAAATTCAGACTTTAAAAGTATAAAATTGTCTTATGTCTCCAAGTTGTTGCACTTTCCTTTTTAACTCTGATTTTATTTGGATAGTAGCACCGAATGTTCCGATCACATTTTCAGAAAAAAAACTTTGTTTTTCTTTTGGTTTAACTTAGTTACTTTTTTTACGTTTTTGATAATTCAACTATGAGAACGCAAAAAATAGGCCAAAACTAATCCAATGGGTTTCAAAAAACAAATAAAAATTGAAAAAAATATTTTGAAGAAATTTTAAAAACTTTTTTCATTTTTTGAGCTGTATTTTTGAAAAAAATTGTATGCCAGAGAAGGGCTAAATGAAGCTTCTAAAATTATTTTCTTTTTAGTAAAACGAAGTCTTTTAGCCTAAACTTCTAAATTTAACATTTAAACAGCCGTGACTCGATCGCTTTACTCGCTCAAAAATTGTCGGAAAATTGAAAAATTTCAAAACTGTTTTTCTCGATATTAGATATTTTTCGGATTTTTCAAATTTCATTGAAATCTCGACAAGAAGGATTTTATTATGATATATCACCCTACTTGGTCCAAAAATTATTTGATTTGGTCCCTAATTTTTTTGGAAAACAAAAAAGTTGAAAAAAAAATAAAGAAGAATATAGAAAAAGAAAAATTTTAAAACACCCTTGAACACAAAGTTTCTCCCCATTTTTTAATGGTTGGAACAAAAACACGGAAAAAACATAAACCATGTCTTTTAAAAAACTTACAATTCATAAGTTTTGCTGAATGCACGTATATTGGTTGTCGCGGAATAAAAATTCTTAATTAGATTGGCATTATATTTATATGATATCTTGATTTACATTATCAACATGCTATTTGGCTAACAGAAAAATAATGGTTTGAAGAACAAATAGCGTAAAGGGCTCTAATGCAACAGCCAATTTGCGAGGGGGGTTAGGGCGGTCGCAATCGGCGCCAATATTAACTGATTCTTAGGATTAAACGAAAAAACGCCTTTCTTAAGTCAAAAATTACCAAAAATTGTCTAAAAAAACGCGATTTTGGCTCTAATTTTTCAAATATTTACGGGCCAGACAATTTATCCAACACAAGGTTTTTTTCAGTGATTTGGGAGAGCTCTGAAGTCAAATATGTAAAACTCGAAAATCCGCCCCTCCCCCTCTCTCGGGGAAATCCTAGATCAACCCCTCCTCTACTGTCTGATTAAATTAAAAGCCGAATACTAAATCGAGCAATTGACCTGATTTTTTTCGAGTAATTGACCTAAGCAATTGAACAGCTCATTTATTTTAAGCCCCAGTAAAGCCGAATTTTCTCATTTTTGCATGAGAAAAAAACAAAACCTGAAGAAACTCTGCTGTGAGAATAAAAAATTGTTTGCAAAAATGATAAACTCAAGTTGAGCAATTTTTTTTACTCTGTTCAATAAAATAAATACTGGAATTTTTTCCAAGGTCTGACGCGAAACACGAGTCATCAGCTGCATATCACAAAACAGCTACCAAGGTGCATGCGCAAGCATCTTCTAAAACTCCAATCACACTAAAATGCACCACAAATATTGAAACAGATCGAGTGCAGTTCTTCTTCATTTTCGTTTTTCAAAGACTTTAAGTCTAAAGTTAGCGAAACTAACTTCATGAAGGACTCAAAGTAGCTCATCAAAACCATAAAATTACCCTCTTTTATTTTTTTGGAGGTGAACGATACTTTTGCTGGTGAAATTTTCTCAAAATAGCTTTTTTAATACTATTTGACGGCATCCATGTTCGGCAAGTGAACCCTGTAATTATTTATAAGATAATAAAATTCAAAAAAAAAGAAAATAATTTGTACATTCTATGCTGTTATTGAGTGGGAAAACTTACCAAAAATTGCTTAGAAACTTAATTTTGGAAACGGCTCGAATTGGTTGACCTAATAAAGTTGTAATCTGCAATCAATGTGCGAAAGTTGCTTAGAAACTTACTTTTGGAAACGCATCGATTTGGCTGACCTAATAAAATTGTATTGTGCGATTCGAACCAAGTTTCATTATATTTTAATGGTTCATTATAGTTTAGACACCACTGCAGCACATCGGTCATTTAAAATCAAAATGACCGCCACTTCTTTCAAAATTAATGCAGTTAATTTCACGACAGGTAATAAATAATACATAAAAAAATTAAATAACTTGGTTTGCTTTGAGAACTCGTTGGTATCGTCTGTATATTATTTACTTTTACAGAGCAGAAAATCGTTACAAAGTTGGTTTATATTTGCTATATTCAAAAAAGCATTATTAAAATTCAGTGACCATTAGAAATTAAATATTAGACCATATAAACCATTAGAAAATTTTTTTGATTGAATTCAATATCCAGATACTTTGTCATCCAGCAGAGAAACTCTGCTAAACTTTTGCTTAAGCAAACAAAATACTGAAAACAGAATTACGACTTTTATCGAAAAAGAGAGAAATCTTGAGAACGAAAACATTTGACAACTAACTTTCACGACAGCTGGTGACTTGTACCAGAAAAACTTCTTGAAATTATATTTTTGCTTAATATCTGCGTGAACAAATATGGCTCCTGCTGTGATGCTTCCCGACTCAATGACGAAACAACTGCACCTGTCACGTAACCTACAGGCGGGGGGCTTAGGGGGGAGAGGAGGGGGTGATGGAGGGGATAAATTCACAGCCGACATCAACACAGGAGCGCGAGGCAAATTCGCGGAGACACCGGCCACCGCCACTGACACGGCCAAGTTCTCAATGGAGTCCCACAAACTGTCGCAGCACTCAAAGAGTCTGTTTGAAAGCGCATTGGGAGCAAACAACCATTCAAAGCAAGGTAAGCTTCTATGATTTTCGGCTAAACTGCCTGTTATGATTTTGATTAAATTGACAAATGTAACCTGTATTTTATTTATTAATTTGTTGCTTTGACTTCAATTTAAAAACAAAACTAAAACAGAGCATTGGGAAAAACATAAAATATGGTTTTTCACAATCTGTATTTTTCAAGATCTCAGTAAAATCCCGTCTGCTGTCAGCAATCACAGTCGCAGTTACAGCTCCTCCCCCCGCAGGGTCCCGAGTGAGGGGGGCCTCCAGTCGGGCAGAAGGAAGAAGTGCTCAGTGGGCGCCAGACCCTCCCCCCGGCTAGTGACTTTCTTCCAAGACCACGAGGAAGAAGGGGAGGAGGAGGAGGAGGATGAGGAAGGGTTTGTTCCTGGAGGATTTAAGGGAGCGATTGAGGAAAGTGAAGACAAAGAAGCTTCCGGTGGATTTTTTGTGCCCAGTTTCATGCGCAAAAGAGAAGAGGAATTAGCCGCAAAGCTTAAGGTATGTCCAAAACACATAACTGAAATAACCGCTGGTCAAGATTATGATGTATTAGAGCTTTTTTTAAAATTATTTTAGCAAGGTTTGAGCTGTATTTTGACAAAAAATTTTCTCACAAAATTTTATGTTTCCATCTATTTAATGTTATTTTTGAATAAAATAGTAAAAACAAGACTAGTTTACGATGAGATGTTAAAACGAGTACCGCGACAACTCGTAACAAAAAAATAATTTTCAATTTTCAAGAAAGCGACAAATTTGAAAACTAATTTATGACATAAGAATTTCAGTTTAAGGTCGCCGCGGCGTTACACGACTTTAAAATTCGTATAAAGTCCTTACCTCTGTTGGCAAGCTCGCAACATGTTGGCGCGACTTCGGCGGTGAGTATATTGCGAGCTGTCTGTTAATGCGAGTTTTCTTTAGTTTCGAGTTGTCGCAATACAGCTAAAACGAAGACATGGATCAAATTCTTGAATGGCTAACTTACAATCAACTAAAGACTTCGGTGGAGTCAGATCTAGAAAAAAATGATCAATCAATAGCCCTTGTGAGGATGCGTATAGAATTCATGCGTAACAAACTTCTTATGAAAAACCTGAACAATTTTCTCCCCGAGAATTAGAAAAATCCAAAAAAAAACAAACATGATGGGTAACAAACAAAACAAAAACCACCTCAGCCAAGAAAAATAGCTAAATTTGATAACATCTAAACGCGTGAAAAGTACTTTGAACAAAAAAATGTTATTTCAGTAAAACCGAAAGCTAAACCATTTTACTTTAAATTTAGCTTGGAAAAATATAGATTTTACTACTATTGGCAATTTATTGGCAAAAAATAACTGCAAGGACCATAGTAAAATGAAAAATCAAATCAATCGCAGTCTGTCTTTTTCAACCCAAATTATGCTCACATGTGGCAAAACATTTTTCAAATCGATGAAAAGGAAATTTAGCTTAGATTGTTAACAGCTTAGACCCCTCTGCTCTCTCGATTTAGACCATTTTTATTAACTTTTATTCAAAAAGTACCAAAACTAAAAACAAGCAAAAAAATACTGTTTTTTGACAAAACGAATATTTTTTCGCCAAGTTGAAATTGTTTCGGATCTATACTCGATAAAACTTATGGAATACTCTAAAATTGACTTAATAAATTTAGAAAAAAAATTTAGACAATCAACCTCCGCAATGTACTCAAAAAGGTTCTATTGACGTGAGAAAAACTTTGAATACAGTGATTGATGGTGATCTTCTGACTAACCGTTATGGTTACGGCTTAAGAAGAACCAAAGTATAACAAGACTGCTCGTATCAGGACAAAGCACACTGCCTTTTAGGGTCTATGGAGCAGTAATAACATGAAAACATAATTGCAATAAAAGTAAAATGAAAAGTTTGTGGAAATTATCCCCCACACGTCATATAAAGTACCAAGTGATAAATTTCGCTCGTAGTAACATATCGATTATGGCAAATAAGCTTCCTTCAACCGATTTGGAACGATTTCTATGACGGATTAACTCTCCGCGTACGCATTAGTAGCGCGAAAAATATCGCGCGTTAATTGTCCCAAATTGGCCAAAACGACAAACTTTAATAAAAATAATCGCAGGTGAAATTTGTTTTCAAATTTAAGCTCAGGACAACAATATCTTTTGAATTATTTAATAAAATTGTCAAAAATGGCTTGTTAAATAGTCGAAATTTGCCTGAAGAAAAATAAACCACCCCGAGCACAAATATTCATTTACTTTCGTTACAAAAGTCGGAACAAAAACATAAATTTTTTTTTCTGTCAAAAAAGGACTCTTTTTAGACTGATCTAGTGTATTGTTTTTGTAGATTAACTGTGTTCTATAGAAACGGACTGAAACAAAACTTGATTTGGTTTTTCAAATCGGAACAGTGGTTTAAAACAGAGGTATTTTGCAGTATTTTTTTGGTACCGAACAAACTACATCTTCCTGAGAAATCTGAAACTATCAGAAATTTTGAAGAAATGTGAGCGAGGCAAAAAACAAAAAACAATTGTTATTCAATCAAAGTCATCAGAAAAAACCTTAGTCATTGAATGAAACCGCAGACTTAAGCCGGAATGAATTGAACAGTTTTGCGAAAAAAGAACAAAAAAATGTCAAATATCAATACTGTTTCGAATCAGTTTTTTGTTAAACAGTGCATCAAAAATTACACATCATTTTGTAGTTTTTTCAAGGGGCACCCCAGTTTATAGTAAGAATTTTTAGCCACATAATTGAAAATGTAGATAAGTAAATGAAACATTAAAATTAATTCCTGCTTGTCTTGATAATACTCAAATTTTTGTTCAATAATTCAAAACAACTAGATTTTTGATGTTTTATCTTCAAACATCGCAATTCAATTCAAGCATTGGATTACGGTTAAAATTGTGGTAAAACATTTGGCAAAACATCTTCACTTGGGCAAAAATCCGAAACTTTTCAACAAATAAGGCGAAGTTTGTATCTTTATCGTTAGCCTACAAAATGTTTTTAAGGCCAAACTTTTTTTGCAAACCACAAAAAAAAATGTTTGCCGTTTTTTAGTAATGAAAATTGACTAAATATAATCCAATTATTTTCAAAATCGGAAACCGGTTCAGCATATTCCATCTTGTTTTTGAAATTTGTACGTTATTTACTCCGTGTTTTTTGACCTTGACCTTGCGAAGTTCAGACGCTTGACCTTGCGAATTTTTGACATATCTTTTTTTTGTATGACAATGAGAAAAAATTAGAAAAAAACAGGCCAAAAAAGCGTTTTTAAGCATTTTTTGAAAAATTTTGACCAAAAAATTGAATTTTTTTGGCGCGTGCTTCCCCCCTCAAATAAAGAAAAATCTTAGGCTCCGTTAGCCAAAAGTAGATATATTAAAATAGTACAAAAAGGACACTTTGGGTCGGCAAGGGGTCAATTCCCTGATAGGGAAGCGTTCAATCCAACCCCCGCCCTCGCTAAATCCGCTACTGATCATACTTTTGCGGAATCCACTAACAGGATTCCACTTACAGTGGATTCCACTTACAGTTTCCACTTACAATTGGGGATTCCACTTTGCGGATTCCACTTACAGTTGGGGATTCCGCAACAGCTCAATTTAACGATACAAATGTCTTATTATTGTTTGTGGATTCCACAAACTCTTGTGCATTCCGAAAATACAGTTGCGGATTCCGCAAATTCGCCTGTTTTTGGAGCAATTTTGAGCGGTACAATGTTTTAGATATTTGTTTGTGGAATCCAAAACAACAGCGAAGATCAAAGAAAAGTAGCAATGTTGCGGATTCCTTGATAAATCTGATTTTGGCTTGTTGTGAATTCCGCTTACAATGCACAGAATGCACAGTTTGGCCTCGTAATGATGGAGTTTCATCGTTTTTTTTTTGATAAAATGAAAGCTTCCTAGTCTCAGGTTGAATTATTTCTTCGAATTGACGAAAAAAAATCACCGCAAGCAGTTTGCGGATGCTTAAGTTTGAGCAAACAGTCCTTACAAGATGGATTTCCAGTCCAGATGCTGAGCCGCACGGACTAACTTGAGATAGAAGCCGATAAAAATCGATTTTTATACCGATTATATACTGAATTGAAATCGATTTACGATAGTCCATCTAGATACGTAAATCGATTTAGAATGGATTAAAACTATTACGATAAAAAAATTGCATAAAAATTGGAGTTAAATCTTCTAAATGGATCTTTGCATGGTAGTTAAAATCATCAAAAACTTAACAAAATTGATTTAACTTCTGCATTTTTCTATTTCGAAGCTTGAGCACATTTTTCTACTCTGTTGCGCTTAAGGACTCCCTTTCAATTTGTGCAAACTTAAGGGTTCCCGTGATAATGAGAAGTGAAACTATGCGATTTTGATCAATCTAATTCGATTTTGAATTGATTCATATCGTAATTTTTTGGTCTCTGCTACATAATCTTTATAAAAATCGATTACCATCCTTTTCTTGTCAGTACGGGGACGGTCGTGTTGAGCCCACAGCAATCGACTGTGCACTCAAACTCAGCTGGACTGTTTAAGTCATATGCTGCTTCCAGATTGGTCACTTATTTGAGTGGCCATACTCATACAGTCAAGCACATGTCAAAGTGACAAGCCACACTTTTGCTGAACAAAATTTTAACATCATAATTAGACAGCAAACCTCATTCGTAGACCATATTTTAACAGTTAAACTGAATACGTTACAACTAATGACTCTTCTCACATTGATGTTCACAGTTCATGTAAGTTGATCAGCTGGAGAACTTTAATGCGAATTTAATTAGCTGCTAGCAAAAAGTGCGTCACTCTCATCTACGTACAATACGGAGCTCCAGAAACTTACAATTTTTACATTCTCATTGTAACCAAGAAAATGAATTTTAGACAAACGTAACAAGCAAAAGCTATATTATATGAAAAAGCAAAAACCTAAGCGTCGATGTACCCAAAAATTAACAAAAAAACCTTAATTGACACCGATGTACCAAAAAAAAACCGAAGATTATAGCTGCTATAGAACTAAATGTTCCTAACACATTCATATTGGAAAAAATCATTTATAAAAAGTACATATCAAAACAAAAAACATATTTGGACTGCGTTTTGCTGGAAATAAAATTAAAAGAAACGCGAAGCCCTGAAGGAAGAAATGAATAATTAATAATTATTTATTTCGTAAATTTCCCGTCTCGATTCTGATTAGTTAATATGGTATTTGTCTGCTTACTGACGAGTATAAATACGCGGTTGTCTAAATACAGACCGCACTCCATTTCGCTCCTTCTAACAAATCAATTATGGCAAATAAGCTTCTCTAGACCAATTTGGAACAATTTCTAAACAAAACAAGACTGCTCGTATCAGGGCGAAGCCCTGAATGTTCCGACTGCCTTTTAAAGTTAATGGAGCAGCAGTAATAACATTTAAAAAATTAAATGAAATAAAAAAACGAAATTTGTTTTTCTAAAATTTGAAATTTTTTATGAAAATCATCCCTCCACACGCCATATAAAGTACAAAAAGATAGATTTCGTTCCTTGTAACAAATCAATTATGACAAATAAGCTTCGCTCAACCAATTTGGAACGATTTATAAGACGGATTAAACCTCCGCTTACGCGTTAATAGCGCGAATAATATCGCGCGTTAATTGTCCCAAATTGGTCAAAATGACCAAAATGGCAATCTTTAAACACTCATAACTTTACGAAAAATGATCACAGGTGAACTATCTTTTCAAATTTAAGCTCAGGACAACAATACCTTTTGAATGATATTAAAAAATTCCGTCAAAAATGGCTAGTTAAAATGTCGAAATTTGTCTGAAGAAAAAAAAACCCACCCCGAGCACAAATATTCCGTTACTTTCGTATCGAAAGTCGGAACAATAAATCTCCGCTTACGCGTTCATAGCGCGAAATATATCGCGCGTTAATTGTCCCAAATTGGTCAAAATGGCAATCTTTAAACCCCCATAACTTTACAAAAAGTGATCACAGGTGAAACATTTTTTTTCAAGTTTAAGCTCAAGACAACAATACCTTTTAAATGATAAAAAAAAATCCCGTAAAAAAATGGCTTGTTAAAAATTAAAAATTTGTCTGAAGAAAAAAAATCACCCGAGCACAAATATTCCGTCACTTTCGTCACCAAAGTCGGAACAAAAACTTCAAAAACAGAAGCAATAATATTTCAGCTATGTACATGTTTCAGCATGTTTTACGATTATTGTTCCGACTTTCGATACGAAAGTAACGGAATATTTGTGCTCGTGGTGGGTTTTTTTTTTCTTCAGACAAATTTCGACTTTTTAACTAGCCCTTTTTGACGAAATTTTTTTATATCATCCGAAAGGTATTGTTGTCCTGAGCTCGAATTTGAAAAGATATTTCACCTGTGATCATTTTTTGTAAAGTTACGGGGGTTTAAAGATTGCCATTTTGGCCAATTTGGGACAATTAACGCGCGATATATTTCGCGCTATTAACGCGTAAGCGGAGAGTTACTCCGTCTTAGAAATTGTTCCAAATTGGTTAAAAGAAGCTTATTTGCCATAATTGGTTTGTTACAAGGAGCAAAATCTATCCTTTTGTACTTTATATGGCGTGTGGGGGGATGATTTTTATTTAAAAAATTTCAAATTTAAGAATTTTTTTTTTTCATTTTGTTTTATTTCATTGAATTTTTTAATGTTACTACTGCTCCATAAACCTTAAAAGGCAGTCGGAACATTCAGGGCTTCGCCCTGATACGAGCAGTCTTGTTATTTCAATGTACACTATATGTTATTTATGTATGCGTTGTGAGGAAAATTTTCAATTCATCAGACAACATGAATTTTTAGAAAACTAACGAACAATACATTAACACTAAAACAGCAAAAGCAAACACTGTTTTTTTTCTCGTTATTTTTAAGTTTTCTTGATGGATAAAAGCACAAAAGTTTCGTTCTGCTTTCATACGTTTGGCAAGAAAATAAATCTAAAAAAGAAACGAGACTGCTCGTATCAGGGCAAAGCCCTGTATGTTCCGACTGCCTTTTTAGGTCTATGGAGCAATAATAACATTAAAAAATTGAAAGTAATAAAATAAAATGATTTTTTTATTTGAGACTTTTGTAAAAAATCATCACCCCACAAGCTATATAAAGCACAAAGTGATAAATTTCGCTCCTAGTAACAAATCAATTATGGCAAATAAGGTTCCTTGAGCTAATTTGGAACGATTTCTAAGAAGGATTAAATATCCGCTTACGCGTTCATAACGCGCAATTTATCGCGCGTTAATTATCCCAAATTGGCCAAAATGGTCATCTGTAAATCCCCACAACCTTACAAAAATTTATTACAGGTGAAGTTTTTTTTCAAATTTAAGCTCAGAATAATAATACCTTTCAAATGATTTTTAAGCATTCTCGTTAAAAATGGCTAGTTAAAAAGTCGAAAATCGTATGAAGAAAAAAAACACCACGAGCACAAATATTCCGTTATTTTCGTACGGAACAAAAATTTGAAAACCGTTAGAAGTTGTTTGTGCTCGGAGTTTAGACATTGGCTACACTTTTGGAGCCCTTTTATTTTTTTTGTTTTTTGAAGTTTTCTGCAAATTTATTAGCTGCTGGAAGATTTGTATTTTATTTAATTTTTTTGCTCATTTTTTTAGCTCATATTATTTTATCTTTATCTGGTGCAATAGGTGAGTATAAATTTTTCCTGGAATGGTTGAGAGTTTTTAATTATTATGGTTAACGATTATGGTTTCAATTGATGATGCAGCACCTAGCTTTGAAGCTTTCAGACTCTGATAGCACTGCTGACAAAATTTGAAAGTTCTGAACAATGATGCTTCAAAATAATATATATTAAAAAACACATCGCATTGGATTCTATGAATTTGATACCTTATCCCTTGAATGCATTTTTTGCGGAAAAAATTGACAAAATGAGAAAGTGTGAACAAATTACATGTTTATCATTAGAGACGAAGTTTGCTCTTTTTTGCTGCAAACACATACAAAAACCAATTGTCGTGAAAGAAACTGTCTACCGAATTCTAAAACCAATGCTTCTGTAAGATTTTATGCGTTTTCAAATTTTCTTTTCTATTTTCAAATGGAGCTTAAGCAAAATCACTGTTTTGTTCAAACGTTCTGACACATTTTCGAATACATAATCAAAAAATGTCATTTTTTTTTGTTAAAAATAACCATTTGAGCCCCAAGGACCAACGTTTCAAATGAAGTACCTTGTTGCTTTATTGGACCTTCTACTGTAACTTCACACCCCAGTGATTTGCTATATATACAATCAGTTTTTGGTCTAGCTAATTCACCAATTTTATTTGATCAACACAGAATAAACAAGACAACAGCAATGATAAGGTATTTGAAGACACAACTTAGACGAGCAATTATTCTTCACTTGTTAACTGTTCACTTGAGAAAATCAAAGCCTGCGATACTAACCAAAAAACAAACACTTTTAGATTTAGTTCACATTATTCTGCTCAGTTTGATGACACGCACCATTGCCTGTCGTTTATAATTAACAAGGGTTGTCAAAACTGTACGGTCTAGGGATAGGGTGGGAAATGGTGGCGCTGCTTTGCTTTCCTATTGTGGTCGCCAAATTTTGTCAAAAGCCTTACAACCCCCCCCCCCCCCCCCCCCTACCCCCGTTTTATTACTATTTTACTAAATCCGATTTTTTTGTGAACTTTTTCTGCAGGTATTTTTGAATTTCTGAGAGGTCGATAGATATGATACGCTCAAAAACGGAAAATCAACGAAAAACTTAAGAAGAAAGAAAACCCTCTATCTGAAAAAACGTCGCATTCCAATACCGTTCGCACTCTATACTCGTGATTCCCAACTAGCTAATAAATTCCGGCTAGATAGCTTTTTGAAAATGTCGAGAAAGTGTAAATATCACCTTAATTTGTTTGACTTGTTTTGAAAATGTGATTTGACATGAAAAAGTAAACTAACAATGGAAAAACTCAAATTTAATTTAAAAAAAAATTGAAAAAATCAAATTAAAATTAAAGGGGCGGGGGGATCAGGGGGATCTAGGATTTTCTCGAGGAGGGTTGGGGTTTTCTAAATTTATCAAAATTGTTCAAAAGATTGTTTTTTTTTGAGAAAATTGATTTCTCGTGCTCTCCGAAATTACTATTGAGACCGGCTTAACCAAAAACTTTCTGCATCACAGGCACCAGCGGATTTAGGAGGGCGGGGCGTGGGCGCCTTTTCCCTCAGGGATTCGACCCCCTGTCGACCCAAAGGTTCCCCCTTTGTACTATTTTAAGATCTCCTTTTTTGGCTGACAGACCCTCTATTAAGAGCCTTTATACTAAATTTGAGGGGGATGCGCGTGCCTTAAAAACGAGATTTTTTGGTCAAAATTTTCCAAAAAGCGCCCACAACGCCTTTTTTGGACTGTTTTTTTCAAAATTTTGCCTGCGTCGCAGTAAATTTGGTCAAAAAGGGTCTGTATATTTGAAAAAAAAGGTCGATCAAACATTTCAAAATTTTATTGATCTTTTTTTAGGTCGACCAAATTGATTTTCCGAGCTCGCACAAATAAATTTGATTTTCCGAGCTCGGAAAATCAATTTGGTCGACCTAAAAGGAAAAATTCGATAAAATTTCAAACTTTTTTTTGAAAATCCGCCCCCTCCCTCGAGAAAATCCTAGATTCGCTACTAACTACAGGCAAATGTGTGAGAAAACAATCCAAAACACCGTTTTTGTGCACTTTTTGGAAGGTTTTGACGAAAAAGTTGCGTTTTTCGGTGCGTGCTCTCTCCTCAGAATTTGTATATATTGGTGACAAAGACACATTTAGAAACGTTTTAGGTTCGCTCGGCCGAATATTTATGACGTAAAATGGTAGCAAAGGGTGGACCTTTTTGGTGCCGAGGGTGTGGGGGGGGGGGGGTTGGGTGGGGGGATTTGTCACTGAAAATTTTTTTTTTGGAGAAGTCGGAATTAAAAATCGGAGTTCTCCTTCTTCTATTAAGTTTGGCACAGATTGATTGGCATAATGAATGAAATTAATTGTGTGAATCATTTTTAGCCCAAAATAGACCCAGTGGTGGTGAAACAGAGACAACTGCAGGAGGAATGGACGACAGTGTGTGTGGGGCTGCAGACGAGAGACAGATTTGAGAGCGACCAGCATAGAATCAATGAGTGGAACGAGAGGAAGGCATCGCTCAGACCAATCAAGACCATGCCCCTTCTGTAGAGATATGAAACACAACATCATCGCCCATCCACACCAATTAGACCCTTCAATTGACTCCTTTACCCCCTAAACAATCCACAATCCACTTGATCTGATGGGGGCATGTTTTCTGTTAGTCTTCTAACCACCCTCAAACCGTCACAATTTTTCATCAGAAGTTATTCATACCAAAGTAAATGAAATAGTAGCAGATATATCAAATTAGGACGGATAACATCCAGAGAAAAGCGCATCTGTTTGGTACCGCCTAAAATTTAATAGATTCGTATTTTCGAATAGGTTGCAAAACTGGGAAAAACTTTTCGCCAATTAACAAACAGTTTCTGACCAACCTTGTATGAAAAATGTCTGATTTTTTTAAACTAAAATTTCGTATCGAAATCGTCACGGTTTAAGGGGGCTAACAGAACGACTCTTTGATTGATTAATTTTTATGCATTGTTAATAAAAATGCTATTTTATGTCTTCTTTAATGCATGTCCTTGATTGCAATAAATTATGTATTAAAACTGTATGATATTCGACTTTCTAAGAGTTCTGAATTCAAAGAATAATTTGCTGTTAAAGCTAAAGGATGAGAAAATCAACATAATGAGCGACTTCGGAAGTTAATCTTCTAATACAAAATAGGTCTTCATTAACTTATCTTTTAAACTAGTTCTTCAGAAACTTATGGAACCTGATCTAAACTACATTTTATGATTGGATAAATTAGATATTTTACCACTGTAAAGTATTTAATATTAACCAATCATGATCCATCTAACTAACAACCCACTTATTTGTGAGTGCTGAAATTACTTGTAATTTCAGCACCAGAGAGATTTGAATTTAACTTAGAAATTAGTTGACTCTCCAAGAAGACTTCAGCTGCCGCAATAAACCAGTATACCCTAGATCTATTGAGCCTAGCAGAGACTAGTTAAACAACCTGAGACTAGATAGTATAAGAGTAAGATTAGGATCGGTATTAGACTAAGAAGTTGCACGAATCTATCCGGCCGAAAATAAGATAGCGTGACGAGCAGACGGTGTACCCTATCCGAAATTACTCTATGAGTTATACACTTCGGTCCTAACTCATCTGGTGCGACCATAAGTCTCGAACAAGACCTTAATAGCTTAGAATTAACCAAAAATAGATTAGAATTTAGACAAAACATTTTTAAAATGTTACACGACGATAATTTAATCGAAATGTCTCTACGACTCAATAGATCAAAGCCAATATTCCGAACGATAAGAGAACTACCCGGAATTGCAAGAAGACCTCGAACCAGAGACGACATACGACAAAGTAGAAACTTACCATATAGTTATATGATAGTTCGGCAAAAGCCAACACAAACTTTTGTATTTAGAATACTACTAGCAATGAATTTAGATTTTCCTTTGCAAACATAAAATATTGAAGTCAATCTTCAAAATCATTTCAGGCGCTAAACAAAATTATTAATATACAATAACGATTGATAAAAAGATCTCAGATCGTTTTCCTAAATTCTGCAGTAATATACAAAACATGTTTGAAAAATATTTATTGAAAAATCAAAATAAAAATTTGTAGCATGACAATAAATGGTTAAGTAATCATAAATAATCCTGTTGTTCCAGCTTCATCACCTAAACATAACAACATTCATAAGCTCACTAATATCATAAAAACACTAAATCTTTTCTCTACACAAATTTAAATTATTTTAAACTTAAATTCACTTAAATTTAAAACCAGATCATCAAGGCTCATCCTTGGATCTTAAATTATTTTCTATTTAATTACATTTAAAACTTGATCATCAAGGCCTATCCTTGGATCAAAAAAAAACAATTTTGTTCTCCCCCACCCACTTAGCTAGTGTCTAACGACCTCAAACGTCGATTCACTATCCAACCCTTTCTAAAAACCCAGGACTAACAGAAATTTTTGAATAAAACTAATCATTCAAATTAGGATAAACAGTGAAGAACTTCGGTTATTCATCCTTCACTTGATCCCCCCTCTTACCAGACCCAGGATAAATCTTAGACTTAGTAAGTTTAAAATAGTATCTAACGAACTACTCGCGTTCTAATTATACCTGAACCTTGTGGATCGATTTACTATTCTCCAACCCTGAACACAATCACTACCCTTAAGTAAGATTAAGTAAGTTAACACCTTAGCTTATACTAGCCACGAGAAAGTAAAAAATCATTCTTCGGAATCGAGATACTTTTCTCCCCAACCCTGAACAAATAGACCCAGGTTAGGCTAACCAAAAAATCGTAAGGACAAACAGTCTAAGAAAATAGAAATCATTTAACAACCTTTTGCATCCGTCATCCTAAACCTTATGTCATTTAAAAACCTAGGAAATAAACAAACAATCGTTTTACACAATTGTGAAATAGATAACAAAAAATACGATCTTGTAATCACACCTCATACACAAACAGTTGGATATATCAGAACAAAACGACAAACATTAAAAAGAAAAATAATAACCAAACACAGACAAATAACACGAAAAAGAATATCGCGTAAATAATATACTCCAATTATTAGATATTTGTCAATCCACAATTCTTAATGAAGAATTATCCATAAATAATATAATAAGTAACGAAAAAAGAAATACGGATTATTTCCCAAAAACCCCATATTTCAAACCTACATTCAACATAAGTAACTACGCAGAGAATCAACAGAAATTTTTAACAATGTTTAACTTCCAACATTCACAAATAACACAAGACGAATTTGATAAATTAGCCAAACAGCTAATCAAATATTCATCAGTCTATGCAACATCCAAATTTGATGTTGGCAAAATCAGCTCATCACTACATCTCCCATTAAAACCAGATGCAGTTTTCAAAAAACAAAGAGCAAGTAAAGTACCAATTCACTTACACGATAAAGTGAACAGATTACTCGACATTTTAGAACAATACAACATTATATCACCAGTAAATAAAGAAGAACAACCAAAAGGTAACACATTTATCAACCCTGTTATCATTCTAGCCAAAGGAGAATCATTAAAAATCGTTCTCGACGCTAGATACCTCAACTCACTCATAGATGAATCAAAGTGTAATTGGTCTATTGAACCAATACAAGTTATTTTAACAAAAATGAACGGAAAATACTTTACAACCGCAGATATGAATAGTGCATACAATCAAATGCCATTAGATGAACAATCGCGACGTTTAACACAATTTGTTATTGGAAACCAACAGTATGAATTCAACCGCTTATTCTATGGAATATCCATAGGACCAGCAGCATTTTCAGCTTTTATGAGCAAAATTTTTCGACCATAAAAACGCAATCACCTATTTAGACGATGTTTTTATGCATTCACAGACTAAAGAAGAAATGTTCAATGTTTTAGAACAATATCACCAAATACTTCAGAACGAAAATCTGAAGGCCGCCCCGATAAATCACACTTCTTTTTAACACGAGTAAAATTCTTAGGACATAATATAGAAAAAAAAACAATCACCCCATTAAAATCACGCATTGACACTATTCAGAAACTCCAACCACCGACAAATAAAAAGAAAATCCAAGAATTCCTTGGAATGCTAAACTTTTTAAGCAAATATGTTTATAAAATGCAATTATATCTAAGACCATTCTATAATATACTTAGACAGCAAAACAATTTTGAATGGAATACAGAACATCAAGCACGATTTGAAGAAATTAAAAAACTTCTAACTGAACAAATTTCGAATACAATTCCAGATCCAAATCAACCATTCTACGCAATGTGCGATGCTTCGAACTTTGGCATCGGCGCAGCCTTACTACAATCACATAATGGTACAAACAAAATGAACCTTATATCAGCAAATTCTCGATTATTCACTCAAGCAGAGCTAAGACTCTCAACCCTAATGAGAGAATGTACAGCCATAATCTATACACTTACAGAATATGAATTTCTGATACTTGGATCAAAACATCCAACAGTTCTATTCACAGATCACAAACCAATCATTTTTCTCTTCACACAAAAATCCAACCCAAATCACCGAGTTTACAGATTTCAATTAATTCTAATGAAATTTCCAAACTTACATATAGTTTGGACAGCAGGAAAAAATCTTGCATTACCAGACACATTAAGTCGAAATACACCAGCTGAATTACTTACACGTAAAACTACAGTTGAAATACCTAAAAATATAAAATTCTACCTTGCAAAAAACGAAACATCACCCCGACTAGAATGCAAATATGCAGTAAAAACTGACGTTGAACAATCACAGATAAATAATCTACAACACTTTTAGATTGTCAAAATAACCACTACGAAGTTGATCTACTTGGAACATCAACTTTTAAACCAATTCCATACTCACAATGGATAAAAAATAACACCCAACAAAAAAGAGTAAAACAACACTCGCATAAAAAAGACCTTTTTCCACTAATTGAAAAAGAAAACCTAACTGATAAAATAAATTTATCAGGACCACAAACAAACGATTCAAATTACACAATAAATCAAGTTTTTGACCTCCATGACCCACTTGATACAATACCCTTATCTAAATCAGAAATAGAAAACATTTTTCTCCCCCCAACAGAAACAATTACAATTTCAACATTGAAACTATACCAAAATCTTGACCCAGTAATTAGACAACTAAAATCATGGCACAAATATAAAACTAAACCCGTCAAGGCAGATACAACTATTTTAGGAAATAAAACACTCCTCCGATATTTTCGAAAATTTAATAATACAACAATTAATGAAAACACAGACCTTCTAGAATACAAATTAAATCAATCTACAGTTCCCTGTCTCCCTTTAAGTATGATTCTCATAGCTTTTAATATTTCACATACACAAAATATTAAAGGACACTCTGGATCAGAGAAAACATATTCAAATTTTATACAAAACTTTTATTTCCCAAATGCACCAATTTGGATAGAAATACTATGCAATGACTGTATAGTATGCCAACTAAATAAACCTTACCCAAATCAAAAACAAATAGCACAAAAACAAGATTTTAAAGGACAAAGTTTGTACTTTAACCACCGTATCTCCTTTGATACAAAAGGACCAATTTCACCCTCATCCGAAGGAAACTCCTACATTATGGTAATTGTTGACGCATTTACACATTATGTAGCACTTAACCCAGTACCACATTGTAACGCTTATTACGCTTACACAACGCTTTATGAACACTGGATAGCCAAATTTGGACTACCAGAAATTCTAGTTACAGATAACGGTACAGAATTCATAAATAATGAAATTATCACACTATGTCATCTATATAACATCAAACACAAACC